AGCCAATCAGCAACTCTTTCATGGTATAACGGGCGGAGTCAAACCAACTACTACTATTTTCTTTGCTGCTTTCTCAGTTAAGTAGAACCTGGGTACCATGGTTCTCATACTGTGGAATCTATTTAAATATATTTATCTCATTTATGTGTCTAGTATTTGATAACTTTTAAGCTTATTGTTGGTTTAATTAAATTTAATTTTGTGTGATTTATTGCTCTGTTGCAGCCCCTGCTGCTGCGCTGCTGTTGGGGTAACTTCAGGGTCAAGCTGACAGTAGTTTTAAGGTTGAATATCACTTTGTGTTATTTTGATTGTAGTGGCATTCAGATGGCTACTTGTACCATCGTAAGTTTGTTACTTAATATTTTATCCTTTTATTCCCCATTTAATCCCTGTGAATTATTCAACCCTTGGGATCACTGTTTAGTGTACTGCGTGCGCAAAATAAAGGCTATTAAATCCTCTCCCAAGGTTAAAATAACTAGGTCCTTCAAAAGATTTAATCTTGAATCCTTTTTAAATGACATCAAGAATCTCCCATGGCACAGATTAAACATTATCCCAGATCTAGACTGTGCTGTTGAATACTTTCAGTCTGAACTCCTACAAATTTGGAATTTGCATGCCCCGCTGCGTAAGGTGAGGGTAAAAGGAGCGCATATGAACTGGATCACAGCTGACCTCATCCAAATGTACCAGTTTCGGGATTCTTTGTGGTCAAAATTTAAGCGTACTGGCTCTATGAATGATCACGGTGCATATAGACAATGGCGAAATATATGCACAAAACAGACAAAACTGGCCAAGGCCCAATATTTCTATGAAAATCTGAACAGTAACATCTCAAACCCTAGAAACTTTTGGAAAGTCATAAATAAACTACAAACTCCCCCAATCCACTCCCAACCCTCCACTGTCAAAGTGGGTAACCAAACCCTGCAACTTCCCTTAGATGTAGCAAATGCCTTTAACAATTATTTTGTCGGATGCTCTACTGCCCTGATTGCCAAGCTAATAAATGACACGCATCCTGAAACTACAAATGTGGATCAGGCACCACTAAATTTGCAAAGGCCCAATATAGATAAGTTTAATTTTAGACCTGTACCTGTTAGTGTCATTAAAAAACATCTTAATAATCTAAAAATGAAAAACCAGTCCGGACCTGATCAAATCCCAGCAATGCTGTTGAAGCTCAGTGCGCCGGCAATTGCTAAACCCGTCTCAACTCTAATTAACGAATCATTGGTGTCTGGATACATACCCAAACTTTGGAAGACTGCGAGAGTAGTGCCTATCCATAAAAGTGGTGACACTACTTTGGTTTCTAACTATCGCCCAATATCATTGCTCCCTGTATTGTCAAAAATCTTAGAAAAATGTGTCCATACGCAACTTTGTGAGTACTACCAACAATTAAACTATCTGACCCCTGATCAATCGGGCTTTCGCCAGAATCACTCCACTACAACTGCCCTCCTAAAAGTTTGCAATGACATCCAAACTGGCATGGAACAAGGAGCCCTAACTGGAGCTATTTTCCTTGATTTTGCTAAGGCCTTTGACACAGTAGACCACGACATTCTACTGCACAAACTCGAAAACTCAGGTATTGGTGATCATTCTTTAAACTGGTTTCGATCGTATGTATCGGATCGCTCGCAATATGTGTCCATTTCTGACAGTGACTCCCTCCCTCTCCCAGTCACGTGTGGTGTTCCCCAGGGTTCCATTCTCGGCCCCCTACTATTTACATTATTTATAAATGATCTGCCTAATGTCTGCCAATCCTCAAATGTACACATGTACGCAGATGACACGGTAATCTATGCGAGCAAATCCAATCTACCTCAACTTGAGGTTTTGCTCCAAGACCAGTTTACAGAGGTAGAAAAGTGGATCGCAAAAAACAAACTCTTCCTGAACACTGACAAAACTGTCACAATGATCTTTGGAACGGTACCTAAATTACACAAATTACACAATCCCCACCTATCCATCAAAACAAATTCAAATGGCACACTGACCGCGGTCCACTCTTTCAAATACTTGGGTATGATGTTAGACCCCAATCTATCTTTTGGCCTGCACATAGAAAAGCTTGCATCTAAACTTTATCCAAAATTAGGTGCCCTGTACAGAAACAAAGCCTGCCTAAGCCCTACAGTAAAGGAAAAGATTGTACAGCAAATGCTGATGCCAATCATTGATTATGGGGATGTAGTATATGCGTCTGCATCGCAATCCCACATTAATAAACTCAACACATTGTATAACTCGTTCTGCAGATTTGTGCTACAATGTAATTACAGGACCCATCATTGTGACATGCTAAAGGAACTAAACTGGCTGTCGCTGGAATCCAGACGCACCCTTCATCTTTCCAGCCTTGTTTTTAAGAGCTTTTCTGGTAAACTCACACCCTACCTGAACAAAATGCTTTCCCCAGCTGTTCCCACTTTCTATAACCTCCGATCCAGTACAAGCACTTTACTTAGTCTACCTCAATACAAAAAGAAAGCGGCCCGATCCTCCTTCTCCTACAGAGCACCGCAATTGTGGAACGACCTCCCGCACAATTTAAAATCTTCCCTAAGCCTAAAGTCTTTTAAGAGATCCCTCTCTACATACCTCAAAACAGAATGCACGTGTCATGGTTGATTATATATTTCCTGCCTGTTCTATGTTAAATTTTGTATATATTGTGTATTAATATTGTTTTTGTATTTTGTTGTACCTAATGTAACAATGCAATGATTTGTGGACCCAGGACATACTTGAAAACGAGAGAAATCTCAATGTATCTTTCCTGGTAAAATATTTTATAAATAAATAATAAAATAAATAAATAATTTAGGGTTAGTGCCTTCACATAAGGTTATATTGTGGCCTATTTCATCTGCTGTGACATCACAATGCAGTCTAATATAGATCTGCCTGTTGTTTCTGGAATACAGGCTGCCCCCCTAGATTCCTATGGGTTTATCCCCCATGGCCTCTGCGGTGAATCCACCGCGCAAAGGAGACAGTACCTGTGCAACAGCAGCTAGGTTATGGAAACAAGCAAAAGCCCAACGAGATTTTCTGAGTCTGATATCAGTGATGAGAAGAAATATAAACCGGAGTCCGTTCTGAGGAATTATCTGACCTTGAGTCATTGTGCATTTGAAGTGGGTCAAGAAGAGGTGAGTCATCCATTGACTGACGATACAGGAAAAATTCTGGATCCCTAGGGACCCTGATAATGTGCGTCATCTAAGGTGACCCGTAAAAAGATAAGCTTGGTTGGAGACTCAAGAAGGGTTTGGAATTTTCCCTTAGGAATTGTCAGGATAAGATCAAGATTTGATGCACAAACATGCCAGCACAAGATTCTGGTCAATATTACACAGGTAATCTTTTTGGTTCACAAAAAGGTGTTCAACCTGTGATAAACTTGAAACAACTCAATAGTTATATGTCTTTCAACCACTTCAAGATAGACGGTGTGCATTGTTTACGTGATTTGCTCAAACCGTCTGACTGGATGGCCAAGTTGGATCTGCAGGATGCCTACCTCACAGTATGTGAGAGGTAAAACACCCAATCCAGGCAAAAATAATGGGGGTTTAGTTACATTATATGATCATACATTGCATAAGCCTGCCACAATATCAATGTACCCCATCTACAAGTATGATCATATAATCTAACTAAACCCCCATAATTTGTTTGCCTGGATTAGGTGTTTTAAAAAAAAAAAAAAATCTAACTATCTGTAAGCCCTGAAGTTGCTGTTTAGGGGATAATGGAGTGCGCAGGATTTTCTTTTACCTCACAGTACCTGTCACGATCTGCCATCAAGCCTTCTTGCAGTTCATGTGGCAAGGGTAAAAAAAAGATTCTGGTGCCTGCCGTTTGGACTATCCTCTACTTCATAGTGCTTCACTAAAATCATAAAGCCTGTAGTCACCATTCTGAGAAGACGAGGAGTGTGTCTTATTTATCTGAACAACATTCTAATTCTCGCTCAGTTCATCCAGTTTCTCCAGGATCATCTGTCTTAGTATTTGCATTTATTGTAAAATCAGGGTTTCCTTATCAATTGGGAGAAATCCATCCTGGTTCCTACACAACAAATTTCTGTGTCTCATGGTCAACTCCATCCTTCAGACAATTCACCCTCCAGATATTAAATTATCAAACATCAAAAAAAGAGTTCAGACGCATGCTCGCAGCCACCCAACTCTCTCTCTCTCAAGAACCTGGCTTGAATGATCTGCCTCTATACAGGCCATGTGCCCAGGCCCTTTTCACTATTAGCTCTTAAACGATTGCAAGCCTTTTAACTCAGGGGAAGCACATCATACGAGGATATGGTGACTTTCAACATGGAAGCAAGAGACGAGCTCCACTGGTAGCTCCTTTACATGCAAGGTTAGGGCATGCCATATTTGGTTCAGTTCCAGACCTGATCATAGATTTGGACGCAAGCCTATATGGTTGGGGTGCTCACTGTGGAGACATTACCACAGGAGGCAGATGGTTAGATGTGGATTCAACGCTTCACATTAAGTGCCTGGAGCTTCTTGAAGGGTCCTTCGTGATCCCCAGCCTGTCTCCTACTCAGGCCCAGTGGAAAGGTGGACAATGTGTCGGCTGTTCGATACATCAACCACTTGGGTGGCACGAAGTCCAAGGTTCTGGCAAACATGGCTTGAGATTTTGGGCATTTTTGACTCGGCATCTCTGTTATGGAGCAATACATTCCTGGTCTCTCCAATACTATAGCAAACTATTTGCCACCTTAAAGACTCCAGCAATTGGCAGCTGACTTTAGGGGTTTTCAAGCTAATCTGGGACGTTTAGGGTCCCTTACATGTGGATCGTTTTGCTTCACACTTAAATATCCAGCTTCCCCATTTTTTCAGCTGGAGGCCAGATCAAATGGCATTGGCAACCAATGCCTATTTCCAAGATTGGTCTTCCAAAATGAATTTAGCTTTTCCTCAATTAGTTCTCATCTCTCATTGCTTTCTGCATTTACGATTTCACTCAGGCACTTAGGTGATCGTGCCAAGCTTCACTTCTCAACTGCAGATGGCAATCGATTCTCCTCTTCTCCCAACCCTCAATTGCTTCCTCTCGGATCTGGACAGTCAGTGTCATCCTCTGACCCTCTAAGGCATTTTACATTTCATAGTGTGGCTAATTTCGCCATATATGGAGTGTTTCCGGCAATCTTCTGAGTATATCCGCCTCCTCCAAAATGTCCACCGTGCTATTATCCTCTATGAAGGTACATCTGACCTTCCAAATATGGCCGCGCGTCTTTGCCGTCTCGCTAGAATAGTCACTTCCGGTTTCGTCCGGCTCCGATCACGTGGTTAGAGGGCGTAGACATGTAGTTTACTACATGTCAATCATACAGCCGTATACTGGTCCTATATACTCTGCCCAAAATACATAAAAGTTTGGACAATCCACCGGGCAGACCTATAGTCTCCAGGACAGATTTGATTTTATCTACACTCTCTCAGTTCATAGACTATTTTTTGCAACCATTAGTAAAATTATGTCCTCCTTACCTTCAAGACTCTATGAGCCTTTTAAAGATTTTAGAAGAAAAGAAATGGGAAGAAGACTATTTACTAATTACATGTGATGTTACTAGTCTATACAATATAACTGAACATTCTAAAGGAATTGAGGCAGTTACCTTCTTTTTAGAACAATCTAAGGATTTTTTAGACACACAAATTGATTTTATTATCAAAGGTATACAGATGATTTTAAATAACAAATTTTTCTGGTTTGATGGCGATTTTTATCTCCAGATTCAAGGTACGGCAATGGGGACCAGGTTTGCCCCTAGTTATGCTAACCTTTTCATGTCATACTGGGAACGTCTATTCATCTATCAGGAACATAAATGGGGAGCAAACATGGCCCTATATAGGCGTTACATAGATGATATTTTTATTATTTGGAAGGCAACTGAGGCAGATTTTAACCTATTTTTTAATTATCCTAATTCTAATAATTGGGGAATTAAATTAACTAAAAATGTCAGTCCGACTGCTTTTGACTTCTTAGATCTCAATATTTATATTTCCGATCAACAATTTAAAACATTCACTTTTTTAAACAAATGGACGTAAATAGTTTCATTGAAACAAGCAGTTGCCACTATGACCCACGGCTCAAGAATAATCCAAAGGGCCAATTTTTACGAATTAAAAGAAATTGTACGGATGAAACAGATTTTAATACACAGTTGTTATTTTAAAAAGAACAATTCGTCCAAAAGGGGTATTGCGTAAATGATCTTCAACTAAATATTGATAATATTAGGGATCTAGATAGATGACAGTTATTAAATTATAAAAAGAAGGACACAATCAGGATAAACAAATCCCACTTATTTTTAATTATTGTAGTAATGTTGGTAAATTAAAAAGAATTGTGAATATAACAAATGGGACGCGGCAGGGATGTCCGCTTTCCCCATTGTTGTACGTTTTGGCTTTAGAGCCCTTATTAGAGGGGATTAGAACAAATGATGAAATCCAGGGAATAAATGTCTGTCACAAGACGATCAAAGTAGGGGCCTTCGCAGACGACATATTACTATACCTAACATATCCACACACCACACTTCCAGTAGTTATGCGGATGATAGCAGACTATGGGAAGGTGTCCTACTACTCTCTCAACACATCCAAAACACAAGCATTATGCATTTCTCTTCCAAATACCCTGGTCAAACAACTTCAGCAGACCTACAAATTCGAATGGAGGACAGACACCCTCAAATACTTAGGGATTACATATATGAGGGCCCACACAGACCTATTCGCTGCAAACTATGTGACTGTATGGAATAGCTGCCGTACCCTACTTGGTCCCCCATGTTCTTGAAATGGACAGAGAGGGTCATAGCGATCAAGATGTCGATCCTCCCTAGACTGCTCTACTTGTTTCGCAACTTGCCACTGGAGCTCCCCAGGTCCTTCTTTAAAACGGTCCAATCGGACATGAACCACTTTGTATGGAAAGGGGGCAGACCTAGGGTGACACAAGCCCTGCTTAACGCGCCTAAGCATAAGGGGGGGATGGCGTTACCCAATATTCAAACGTATTACTACGCATCTGTAATAGCCACTGCCCTTCCCCATTTTCTCCACGACCCACCCCCGCAGTGGGTACACTTAGAGCGTGGGCTTCTGGCCCCACACACCTTAGCCAATATAGTATGGATACCCAAAAAATTTAGACCACAGCTGCCAAGAGCACCCCCAACGATTAGACTACTGTTGCAGATGTGGGACAAACATACAACCCTACTAAGTGGCCATACCGGCCAATCACTGGCGACACCAATCACATCACTCGCATACTGCATCCCCACATTCCACGCCTTACCGTGGCGCACCCGAGGTATCACCCATCTGGAGCACCTGTACAAACAGGGCGTACTACTAAGCTTTGAAGCGTTAGAAAAGCAGTACTCACTGCCCAGGGCATCCCATTACTCCTACATCCAGCTGAGATCCTTCCTGACCAAGTACCACTGTAGAGAAGTTGCATCCAACACAGTGCCCTTTACACCTAGCGTATGGGAAAAAATGTGTATTACTGGGTTACTCCCCTCTATATGTAAACCGATCTCCATGAGTTACCGACTACTCTCAAAACATTTACCATTTGCTGTCTCAAAAATAGCACAGCTATGGGAAACCGACCTAAACTGCTCTCTCCCAAACAAGAGTTGGGAACGCATCTTCCGATTACCTCGCCTCCTGATCAAATCGTCTACCCATCTAGAACAACATTACAAGACGATGTATAGATGGTACATGGTACCGAGTAAATTACATAGAATATACCCAAATACCTCAAACGTGTGCTGGCGATGCAATGGAGCAGAGGGCACAGTTTTACATGTTTGGTGGTCTTGCCCCCGCATCCAGACCTTCTGGGCGGGTATTCACGAAATGGCACAGGCGGCAACAGGCTGCTCTATCTCCTTAACAGCCCAACACCTTTTGCTAACTGACCTACCGAAGGGGCTACCTAAAGCTGTACAAAAACTCTTATTACATATCATACTGACAGCGCAGCGATCAATCGCCCAAAGCTGGAAACAAACAGCCCCCCCCGTGTACAACGAATACTCACAGATCTGGATACACAATGCTCGTATGAGAAAGGATTAAAAACACTATTCCCACCTAACCATACGTCCTTGAAAACATGGGATATGTGGGACTCATGGAGATTGCGTAATAAACGAAAGTGAATGTACCTACCAGGTGGGCGACAATCGGCAATCAGCAAACCACCGTGAGGACACGGAGAAAGAGAGCTAGACGTAATTACTATTAGGTCTCCCCATAGGGGTACGTTAAGTGTATGACAGCAGTACTTTGTCCCATAGAAGAAGTAGAACATACTGTTCAATAGGTATAGAATGTGTATGTCATATGTATATATTGTGTATATTGTATATAACTTACCTGCCAGTTGTATGACAGTGGATACAGTGCATTGATGGAATCTATTTTTTTACCTCCCCCTCCCTCTTCCTTTCTGTACCTCCCCCCCCCCCTTTTTTTGCTAAAAAACAATAAAAATTGTCAAAAAAATAAATAAAAGAATTGTGAATAAGAACTGGCATATCTTGCAGCGAGAACATGAAATGTACAATTTTATAGGAGATAAGCCTAAATTAATTTTTAGGGGGGCAAAAAATTTTAAGTAATTTTATCCTCAAATTACATAGATAAGAACGTCAATTTTCTAACAAAATGGTCAAGAACCCCAAAAGGCTTTCATCATTGTGGCAACTGTTATGCCTGCAAAAACACCCATGTAACTAAGAAAAAGAAAGATGATTTTATATCGAATATAACTAAAAAGAATTTTAACATCACTTCTTTTATTACATGTGAGTCTACCAATGTTATTTATTTATTGCAGTGTACATGCGGTTTACAGTATATAGGTAAAACCTCAAGGCCACTAAAAACAAGAATATATGAACATATTAGAAATATCAAAATTGGGTTTCTAAATCATAGTGTGTCAAACCATTTTTTAGAAAGACATAATTCTAATCCCAAGGAATTGGAGTTTACAGCAATTCAAAAAATTCCTACTCATTGGAGAGGTGGAAATAGTGCTTTAAATTTAAGTAAAAAAGAATCCAATTGGATATTTGAGCTCCAAACATTATGCCCTAAAGGTCTAAATATTTATTTTGAAATAGGTCCAATTTTATAACTTAATCCCACCTCTTTCTCACTTTTGGTTTAAGGGAAGATATCTGGAGTCTTCTTTCTTATGAAAATCAGGAACCAGGTTGCCAAATGGATAAAAGGTAAGTACTTTTATTGAAACAAAATAAAATGAAACAAAAGCACTACGCGTTTCGACCTGATGCAATAGGTCTTCCTCAGGTGAATATCATAACTAGTGCCACAACCTTCTTATATAGTATACGTAATAAATATACATACTATTTTTATATATACTATTTTTATATGTTTTATAATAATTGTTATATGATTATATTCATTTTACAGTCTAACTCCCTCCCCTCTTTTTACTTTTGGTTTAAGGGCTATAAGCACACTTACTATTTTTATACATTTTATGACTGCTATATTTTTATATTTTATATTGCCAAATCGAGTATTGATAGTTTATTTGCTGTATATTGTTATCATTTATATTTCTTTTTTTCTTCTTATCTTTGTGTGGTTTGGATACGAAACGGACTCTGTTCCTATGTGGAACGTTACGACTTTGTCCATTCTATGACACGGCTGTATGATTGACATGTAGTAAACTACATGTCTACGCCCTCTCTTACCACGTGATCAGAGCCGGATAAAACCAGAAGTGACTATTTCTAGTGAGACGGCAAAGGCACGCGGCCATCTTTGGAAGGTCAGATGTACCTTCATAGAGGTTAATAGCACGGTGGACATTTTGGAGGAGGCGGATATACTCCGAAGATTGCCAGAAACACTACATATATGGCGAAGAGGATGGACCATCAATCCACAGCTATTAATGTTTGTAATGTAATTATATTTATTATGTATACTATATAAGAAGGTTGTGGCACTAGTTATGATATTCACCTGAGGAAGACCTATTGCATCAGGTCGAAACGCGTAGTGCTTTTGTTTCATTTTATTTTGTTTCAATAAAAGTACTTACCTTTTATCCATTTGGCAACCTGGTTCCTGATTTTCAAGAAAGAAGACTCCAGATATCTTCCAAGGGACCTAAATGCTCAAACCCACATCTGATTGATGTATCTGCCTCTAAAGTTTAGAGCCAACTCAGAAAGGCTCTAAATATTGTGAGTTTTTCCAAGTTTTATAGTATTGTATTTGTATTGAGATGTATTACCCTATGATGGTTTTTTTATACCTACAGAACCTAGGGATTTCACTTAATACAAGGATATCATCTACTGTGTGCGCAATCACCATATTCCCTGTTTTTCAATTTCTGTATGTAAGTGTTATTCAGTGACTATACACTTTGGTGATTTCCTGTATGCTGCACTGGTTTTACATATGATATTTTAATAGTTTTTAGCGCCATCTTTTATCTTTGGTTTTTATATTGTACTGTGAACCTTTACAGATCGGCTGTTTCTGCCGGACATCATGGGATAGATGGTGCCTCTGTCAGATGTCATACATTTGTATGCCAACTCCTTTGTGGCATTTGTTTTGCTCCTCCGTTACCACATTACTCAGTCCTATGGGACGTTTCTCTTGTCCTGAATTTTCTCGACAACTTGCTAGATCATTCTTGGTTGTCTCTTCAACAACTTTCTGCCAAGTTGTCATATTGTTTTGCTTGATCTCTTGTAAGAGTGTCTCGGATGTGGGGGGCTGTGCCTGACCACCATGCTGACTGGTCTGACAGTGCCTAAAACAAGCTTTCTTAGATCCAAACACCCAGATTTTGGACACTCACAGGTTGATGCTGGTGCTGAGAATGGCAAGAGCAACTTTGAAAAAGGGGTTTTTGCAGCAACACGCATGAGAAACGGTGAATGTGCCCTACAGCTGTCTACGGCCTGGGAGCTTCATGGCGGATGAAGCAGCCGATCACATCATTGAAGCTGTTTGGGCTTCCTTACTAGAGGTGACCTGCACTTCCCCCCTCTGGACTGGTGGGGGCTATCCTGCCCCCCCCCCCAACAAGAGAGCACTTACCTCTGAATCACTACATGGCGCAACTCTAAGAGACTGCAGACACAAGGCCTAACCAAGATGACTGATAGCACCGCTATACCTACAGAGCGAGTGACTTCCAGCCGTTTGAGCAGCAGCCTTCCAGAAAATTTTTTGTGACAAATGCTGGCGATTCTGGGAGTGCTTGGAGAATAGGCGACAGCCACCAGCACGATCGCCAATCAGCACTTCATTCAGTGCACCTACAGCACGATCGCTGGTCAGCGCTTCGTTACGATGTCCCCCATAAGGCGGGAAAGCAAGAAGGCGCGTGTATCTAAACACAGCCCACACTCTCTCATTGGGTAATAAATATAAAAGAAACAAATTAAAACCAATGTGGCTTAGTAGAGAAGTAAAACGAGATTAAAAATAAGAAAAGGGCATTTAAAGCATTTAAATCAGACAAATCAGAGGCATCCTATTTAAAGGACCACTCTAGGCACCCAGACCACTTCAGCTTAATGAAGTGGTCTGGGTGCCAGGTCCAGCTAGGGTTAACCCATTTTTTTTATAAACATAGTTTCAGAGAAACTGCTATATTTGTAAATGGGTTAATCCTTCCTCCAATTCCTCTAGTGGCTGTCTCACTGACAGCCGCTAGAGGCGCTTGCGTGATTCTCACTGTGAAAATCACAGTGAGAAGACGAAAGCGTCCATAGGAAAGCATTGTAAATGCTTTCCTATGAGACCGGCTGAATCCGCGCGCAGCTCTTGCCGTGCATGCGCATTCAGCCGAATGGGAGGAGAAGAGGAGGATCAGAGGAGGAGAGCTCCCCGCCCGGCGCTGGAAAAAGGTAAGTTTTAACCCCTTTCCTCTCCCCAGAGCCGGGCGGGAGGGGGCACCCTCAGAGCACTATAGTGCCAGGAAAACTAGTATGTGTTCCTGGCACTATAGTGGTCCTTTAAGATATAAGGAAGCCAATAACGCTTGCAAAAAGGCAATTAAAGTGGCTAAACTAGAAAATGAGACATTGATGGCTAAAGCCAACCCCAAATTTTTTTTTCAAGTACATCAATTCTAAAAAAACAAAAAATGAAAGTGTAGGTACACTGGAAACAGAGTTGGGTTTATTAGCTAATGAAGACCAGGAAAAAGCAGGAATTTTAACTTGCAAAAAACTTGCAAGTAACTTGTGATTGGATAACTCGAGACAAGGTGCTACAGCTCTTAAAGAAAATTAATGTAAATAAAGCTCCGTGGCCTGACGGTATTCACCCACGAGTACTTAAGGAGCTAAGTGGGGAAATAAGTGAACCTCTGTATTTAATTTTTCATGATTCTTTTGTTTCAGGTGTTGTAGCGGAGGATTGGAGGAAGGCAGATGATGTTCGTATATTTAAAAAGGGTTCAAAATCCATGCCTGGAAATTATAGGCCTGTGAGCTTAACTTCTGTAACTGGGAAAATATTTGAACGGCTATTAAGGGATAATATTCAGGAATTCATTGAGAAGAACTTTGTTATTAGCAATAATCAGCATGGTTTTATGAAACATAGGTCATGTCAAACTAACCTAATTGCATTCTACGAAGAAGTAAGTAGAAGTATAGATCAGGGTGTTGCAGTGGATGTGATCTACTTGGTAAGGGAAACCCCTATTGAGAGATCCCTAATATGGTATTTGAACAAAAAGAAGGTAACTGATTGGAATATACTAACTAAGCAGTAAATAGTGTGTGAGGAAATCGATACAGTTTTGCAACAGATTATACATTTGGCTGTCTAGTCAGTGACTTTCTAGGCTTTATTTCTCTTTTCAAAAATTGAACATTTGAACAGCATTTTTATCTGTTTGATAAGTGAGTCGTTATTACGTGGGGGAACTAAAATTATAAAGCCATATCCCCAGTAGAATCTCTCTCTATAGTTACTGAATTCCTAGGCAAAAAGCTAGTGGTAAGGAAGAAAGGAAGAATGGGCTTATAATAGGAAGACCATCCTAGGGAGGTTTATAAGGATAGGAGGAAAAAATATAAATAAGCAGGTAAGTATATAAGAGTTTGAATGCAGTGATAAACACAGGCAGACAACAATCAATATAACCTTCACAGCCGATCATCTACA